GGTGTGTGTGTGTGTGTGTGTTTGAAGTCTGCAAGAGTTTTATGCATGCTAGAGGGGGTGAAATGTGTGTGTTTGTGTTTGCGTCCGGGCATGTGATTTGTGAGGGAGGAAGGGAAAGAGAAGTTCAGTGTGAGTCAGAGTGTCTTGGATCTGTGTGTGTGTGTGTGTGTGTGTGTGTGTGTGTGTGTGTGTGTGTGTGTGTGTGTGTGTGTGTCTACGTGTTGCGTTTTAAGAGAGAAAGTAGAGACACTGATATCCTGGCATGAGATGAGTGGGAGGAAGGATGGATGAGGTTAGCGAGGGTCTGGCAAGGGCGCAGTAGGTGTAAGCTTGAGAAATTTCCATGTGGCAGTAAAATGTCTGCCACTTTACTTATTGAGTTTCTAATGTGTGCCAGGTGCGTCTCAGAAGCACTTAGTGGACCATTTCTCTGTGTCTGTGTACGGTGTGTGTTTATACGTGCTTGTTTTAGGTCGCATTTGGAACAAATTGTGGACTTCAAACCAGATCAGACACCGCTTCAGGACAAAAATGGCGTCGTCCTGAATTTGGTTTCAGGGAAGTTGGATTCAAAATGTCTTCTTGTCCTCACTGAGATTATATTATAGGGTGAAGGTAAGAGTAATGGTTAGGGTCAAGCATTTTTTGGTTATGGGTAATGGTTACGGTAAGCCTCCAGGAAAAAAAAAAATCAATCTACCGTCTCCAGAAATAAACTATCCGTGTGTGTCGGTGGGTGTTTTCAGCTCTAATCTTGACCAGTTCAGGTCATTATATAACAACGGGGCTGTGTATACAGTTTTACTGCTGCCATTCATAGACGGGAAAACGTTCAACCGTCAAAATGGACCCAAATGACTCACAATATAAAACGTAGAAAAATAAACCTGCTCTAGAAGTTTTTGTGAAAAGCCAACCACAGCTGTAAAGTAAAGAACCGTCGATTTATTAATGTGGATGCTCCAGTCATTGGAAAAAGTCCAGTCCCCCCCAGTGTGTTGGTTTATACCAAGCCCATATTTATGGTTTGACACACTTATTTTTTACATTGGCATACAGTTGGGGGTTCAGCAATTCTCTGAGACTTCCCCCTGGTAATCTTTTGTTTATTATAGACCAAGATCCTTGCTCTTTGATCTTCTGGGGGGAAAAAAAAAAAAAAACCTTCAAAGATGTAACATGCTCCAAAGAAAAATCTGTCAAACTCCAAATAAAAACCAAAATTTTAAAGGTATCATTATGTTTTGTTTTCTTAGCAAAGTTTTGCATAAGTCTTTCTACCTCGTTTCCTTTTAAGAGCACTCAGAAGCGGATAGAAGTAACAGAGGTGTTAGTCGTGAACTCAGTGGTTGCCCTGTAATGGCGACCAGGCAGGAGAGCCAGGGGCTTTCGGTGGTTTTGGCAACAAACGAGACAGTCTTCTTTGAAGCCGTCACAGATCCTCTTACCCACGTTGCTTCGCTTATTAAATGATTTTCCTTTCAAACGGACTATGTCGCTGTGAGGTACACAGGAATTCATATGTGATACATTTTGTGTCAGTAAGACAAACCCCCCAAAATATCTTGAGTAAGTCAGAGGCGGCCTTTAACGCCTTCTCTTTTTTTTTTTTCACTCTCTTCTTCTAGTTTCAAAGTATTTTTAACACATCAGGACTGAAACGCTAAAGTTTTTCATCACAGAAAATATGATGAGAACAAAAAACAGTATTATTTGGATTGAATTTCTTTCTGAAGAAGACAATAAAATATGTTAATTTTGTGGTGAAACATCATCTGAGTTTTTTAATACAGAAATCAAAATGTAGACAGTGAATGTTTGTATAAAAGTGAATTTTATTCACTCCATCATTTACCATCAAAAGTTTTTTCACTTCTTGTGGGTGTGATTTATTTAGGATTTCTAAAGGCTGTTATCCCACATGCCGAGCTGCTATGTCACCAAACAGCAGCGGTAATAATCACAGGGGTAAAATAGGCTAACACATGTTTAAAGGAAATGTGTCATATGCATTGTCTATAGCCGTCTACCAGCAGAGGTTATTGTGTCTTTAAATTTCTTTTCATTCAGTATTTTGGTCTCTCAACTGCAGTTGAGAGACCAAAATACTTTGACAATAAGAACAGTAAAGGTTACCATTGTGTTATAGGCCAACTTGTAAAAACATGCCTTTGACAAGTTGGCCTATAATAGAGTTCCAACTCTTCTTCATATTTTTCCTCTCTGGTGTCAGTCAGGTGGCAGCGGCTCCAGATTCCTAAACCACAAGGTAAATTAGAAATTGAGAGCAGTTTTACAAGTGCTGTGTTATTTCATGCAGTGGAATCCTAACACTCATCCAATTACACTATGTCAATAACATTTCCAAAGTTCAAATTTCTATTTTACTTATATATATATACATATATATGTATGTATATATATATATTATGAATTATTATGAATTAATCTGTATATGAGCTTTGCATTATGACTTTAAAAAAGTAGATTATCTGGGAAATTTGAATGCACTGGTCTTTTTTTTTTTTTTTTTTTTTTTAATCTCTCCTTAAGATCAAATGCAAATATTTTAACTTGATCAGAATCAACATTTCTACAAAACTAACTTTGAGAGAAACTAAAAATGAAAGTGTAATTTGGGACAGATGGAAGAGTGAATTTTTAATAATTTGTGATGACAAAAGCCACAACTTCTTTGATACTCACAGTGAAGTTACACAAATTTGCCAAATGGCAGACTATTATCTTTAAAGTTTTTTTTTTTTTTTTTTTTTTTTTAAATCACCAGCCAACTCCGTGACAGAGGCAACACTGACTCATAATATAGAGAGACACACAACAGAGCACATGGTTACATCTCCCCGCTTGCACCTCTCAGGAAATGGCATCCAATCACCATTCAACTTCACACTAACAGAGCAGTCATTTGGCTTTGCTTGGACATTTCACAGGTCTAATTTCCTCACAACACACTTAAAACATTTCTCTATGTACCTTCAGAGCAGGCTACATATTCCATACATGGCTGAGTGCTATTCTTTGCATGCAGAATGAAGTTCACTTGGCAATACTGCGAATCCCTTACATTAACTTTTAGAATAATAACTTTATTTGAACAGCAGTGTTCAGCTCTTCACTTTTTTTTCTTATCTCCAAATACAGCAGAGAACACATCAATATTCAACATGATTAATAATGTAGCGGACTTCTGCTATTTGGAAGCCTAGTAGGCTATTAATGCTGACTGTGCCAAGTTCAGCCTTTCATATTGTACAACTGCGTCTGACATCTCTTGGCTCTGTTATATATATCTGACTTCATTAAAGGCATCAGTTGACTATTGCTATTTTTTTTAAATGGACAAAATATTACTCAGCATTAAAATAAGTGTCAATATTATTGAATTATTCCCTATACATTAGCATGTGTGCTGAGTTACTGCAGCGGTCCTTCCAATCCCCCGCAGATCACTGGATTTTATGTGGAAGACCAAATGGTTATTTCCGTTCATTTAAAGAACTATAATGGCCCCTAAAACTGAGAAATGTGCTCAATTTTTCAGTGAATAAAAAAAATCACATATTGAGTGTTGCCGTTTGGAGTGAAATGCATTGTTGTTGGCACATTCTTTAACTTTGTTTACTGCTGTTTGGACTATAGGACTGAAGCACTTAGTGATACAATAAAACGACTGTAAATGCAGAGAGATTGGGGAGGAAGGCTGTAAAAGTCCGGTCGTGACAGATGCCCCCTTCTTCAACTTACAGAAGAGGAAAAGTAAATTGCAGTTCGACAGTACTGCAGGCAAAAATAAAAAAAAACACCCTGTCTGCTGCACTTTAACCGATCGATTGTATTGTATATATATAATTGTATTATTATTTTATTATTAGCCTATTATAAACACAAGCAAGCGATTTAAACAGCAGTGCGCTGATGTTCCGCTCAAAATCAAATCGTCCCTTCTCCGAAAGTTTTCTCTTTACTTTCCTACTTTTCATTTATCAGAAAACTTCGATGCCGCCGGCTCTTAAATCAAAATCAAAGAGAATTTTTGATGTTTTTCATTCGCTTCTCATTCATAGTATTGTCTTAAAATCGCATTTTACTCATCCATATATTTTTTTCCTACACGAAGTCTAGGATATAAAGTGTGATTGTGGCTGAGTGTGATGATGTCACTTTTCATACTCACAGAAAATCTCTACATGGGCGAGGCGTCTTTTATTTTTTAAGTTCGGGGTAAAAAAAAAGTGTCCGAGAGTGTCCAACCTGCGCTGTTTCCTGAGGTATTTCAGAGCTTTGAAGAAAGTCTGTAGAAGAAGAAAACGTTTTAGTCGAGGTACAAAAAAAAAAAAAAAAAACTCAGCAGAAACTTCCTCTCTCTTTTTATATGAAAACAGAGCGACCCGCAGGGGGGCGCTGTGTGTCCACGTCTGTGCACGAGCTGGGAGTCCCAAGAAAGGCAAGTCAGAATGACACGCTGCAGAAACAGATGAAATAGAAAGAAAAATAAGACCGATTTCATATTTAAGATGTTAAATTAGGGCTTGAAAATCCTTGGAACAAAAAAATGCAAATGTGGATCTAAATCAAAAGTTGCTGAAATGATGACAAAAATATGAGTTTATTCTATTTTTGTCTCAGACATGTTTTAAGTGAAGATGGTGTATGCTGCTGTAACTGTGCGGATAGAAGAAACAAAGGCTGCTCTGGGAAGAAGAAGTAAAAAAATAAAATAAAAATGTTGTGAATGCAGCCTCGTTTTGAACACACGATGATTTGATTTTGATAATAACTGTGAGACTAAATGATTGTCAAGGTACTAGACATTTTTTTTCAGTGCAGCTGCTTCAACCGTAACCCCTCCTCCTGCATGGTGCCCCCCTGGTCTCTCTCTCTCTCCCTGCTCTCCTCTCTCGTCTCTTCTCTCTCTCTCTCTCTCCTCTCCCTCCTTATTCCTCCACAGCCTTGTGCTTCATTCCAGTGCACAAGCCGAGCGAAGCAGACGGTTCACGCAGCAGCCAAAGCTTATAAATTCGCTCAGGGAATAAACATCTATAAACCGCGCGGCTGTTTCTTTACGGGAATAACACTTGATCGTGGACGCATGTGAGTGCGCACATGCATATAGCCGGGACGATACACCATGGTTCTGACACAAGTGCGGCTGTCTCTGCCTCTGCTCCTCTGACCACAGAGAACAAGAAAAAAGAAAGAAGTCTTTGGATCTCATCTTGAAGCCTGGTGTTTCTTTTTTCTCATTGACTCTCAACGAAATATTGCTGGAAATATTCTCCGGATGGTGACCACGGGCTGGACTACCTGTTTTCAGCTGAGTCGCTCAGTGCGAGGGGAAGGGACTGGAAGACTTGCGCCCGATACCTTTTCTCTGGTTTGATAAAGCACGTTGGAGATCACTGAAAGGGGAGACGGGCATATTCAAACATTTTATACCAAGGCTGTTATTACCTCTGAACTCTCACCTTTACCTGTTTTTTTTTTGGTGAATGGGGGTAACTCTGGTCCTGGAGGCTTGACGCAGCTGGGACTGGGACAGGGACGGGACTGGGTGCGTGGAGCGTCGGATCACCCACCTGTGTATTCCCTCTCTCTCTCTCTCTCTCTCTCTCGCTGTCTCTCTCTCTCTCTCTCTCGTGGGTCTATTTACATGTCCGACCTGACTGCTTTATGACAATGGATTACTTTCTGCTTTTATGCAGCCTCTTGCTGCCCGTGGTGTCCGCCGTGGAAGGTAAGAAATTTCTTCTTGTGATTGTGTTGTGTTGCATTGCAGGATAGCCTAACGCGTATTATTCCTCCATATATCAAGAGAGCCAGCACCCATGCCTCTGAGAGGCTGGGCACCGCGGTGGGTGAGGCTCCGATATACCCCCCCCAAAACCTTCATTTTCTATCAGCCCCAAATTAAAACCAACGTTTCATTTTCAAAGTGGCCATCTGGTTCGTTCTGAGGGATCGCTTAATGGCATTATTGCCTTTACGCAGCCAGGCGCTGTGGCCCGTACAGGTTTCAATACACTATTGTTGTGCGCGTCAACCAAAGCTCATCCATTTCAATGGTAGTTGTGTATTCTTTTTTAGTAACATCAGCTTTTGCCGGCTGCTGCTGCTTTCTTCCTCACTTTAAGGAAATTAGCTCCACACTGTATCTCATCGGGGAGTCGCGGACCTAAGCACCCCCCCTCCCTCCAAGACACTTTCCCCCAGGTCGGCTGCGTGTATTTTAGGGCTATGCGAGTGTGTGGCCTCTTGACATGTGGGCTATCAGTTAAAGTCCAAAGTAAACTCTTGAAAAATCCGATAGGAGTCTATTTGATAGTCGGTTAATTTAGAAGAGCTGTAAAATGATTTTACAAAATGTACACAAAACCGCAACATATCATTTAGTAAATGAGTTCATATTAACTACCATTCATTTATCTGTGTTCATTTCGATTTTTTTTCTAGTTTTGTCAATGTTTTTTTATTCTCTCAAGTGCCATCAATTGCTTATTTCCACTTCTATTCCGCTGCAGTTTCTATAACAAAGCCGTTTGTTTTAGCTGAGTGTTGATGTTTTGCCGTGCGTACAATCGATGGGAAATTCAAGCCATCTTTTTTCTCTCTCAGTGAGATAAGTATCCCACTCTTGCTTTATTTCTTCCCTACATTTCCCAGTGTTTCCCTCTGCTCTGTTTGGGGAAGGGAGAATAAGGAGCAGTGGAAATAAGGTTGAAAGGGGCCTAAAGCTTGAACTATGAATGCTGGAGCTCAGGCGAGGCTCCCGGTTGGCTTGTGATGCCAGTAGAAAAGTAGGACAGTGGGCCACTGGCTCAGTAGACGCTTTTCTCTCTCAGCTTGTTTCTCGACCTGTCCGTACCTTGTCTGAAGAGTTGTTGTTTTTTCTCTCCCTTAAAGTTAAAGCGAAATACGCCTGTCGTAGAGTTGAATCGGATCAATTATTTTTCAACGCAGTTTTTATTTTTTCTCCTTGACGTCATAATTGGAAATAAAGCAGAAATATCAGCGACTCGGCTGCTTATGAAGAAAAAACAATTAATAAACGAAATCCCTTCAAATCAATATTAGGTTTTTGCAGTTTGCTACAACAGCACCCTGCGAGCGTTGGACCCGAGTCTCACTTTTCCAGTGTCTTGACCCTGATGTGAGAAAACATCCGTGGGCCTGCTCGCCAGACTGAGCAAAGTGCTGAGAAGAGCTCACGCTGCTTCGTGATCTCTTCATGAAATCTCCATTCTGACTACACGGCTTTCCTCGCCACTGCTTCCTCTGCCAAGGACCAGGGCTGAGAGAAACACGGGGATGAAAATGATGCTGTGTAAAGCTTATCTGATAGCGGTTGTTGTTTTATTGGTGGCCCTTGATAACAGGGAGAAGGAGTATAAGCTGTATGGTGAGAGTCCCGGTAGGAGTCACTTTACTCGCTCATAGATCACCAGCAGTCAAACTGCTTTTTGACATAGCATCAAGTGCAGAATTAATGAAGGCCGTGCTCTGCAGACAGATGGATTGTGCATTGCATTGTAATTGTACGATGCCAGCTTTCTCTGAATAAAATGATTTTGAAATTGAATTTTGGCCCTGGGACCCCCCCACACCCCTCCTCGGACCCCTGTCAGTGACCCCTGCAGGTCACCGGACCCCAGTTGGGAACCACTGACTTAAAACACATGGCTTGAATGGATGAGTGGATTCTTGTTGTGTAGAAGTTGATGGGGTAGAGAGAGATAGAGAGAGAGAGAGAGAGAGAGAGAGAGAGAGAGAGAAGGAATAGAGGGAAAGAGAGAGAGAGAGATTGGTGTTTTTTTGACAATAGCAGAGACTTGGTTGCGCACCGGCTTCAAGTTGATGTATTTCGTTAGAACAATCTATTCCCTACATAAGTGATGCCATAAATTGTACCCGACTGACCTGGCAGGGGGTTTACCTAAGCTTTTAATACAGACGGGTGATTTATGGCCGCTGCTGGGACTTCTTTCTGGGATCTCCGGGTTTATGGCAATTTAGGGAGAAACAAGCGGCCTGGCTGGGGGAAGTTTCCCCGGCCCCACCGTGCGTCTCTCCGGGTCCCAGGGTCACACAGCCCGGGGAAAAAGCTCTTAATTACTCTGTTTTCTTTTCTTTTTTCTTTCTCCCTCTTTTTTTTTTTTTTTACTTTTTGCCCCCCCCCCCCCCCCCCTCCCTAAATGGAGATGTAATAGTTAAACCCAACGTCTTCAATCTTGTGAATTTAGTTTGCTTTTAATTAATAAATTATGGGCCTATTACACTCTGGGTCTCGCCTGTTTCAGAGTGCCACAGTAGCTGCAAACATAAATAAGCTAAACAAGCGCTTGAACCCAACCACTCACTTTACCTCACTGAGCTGTCTGAGCGCTTTTACTTGGTTAAAATGAGGCCCAACAAAGAATGACCAGTTACTTTGCGCTGAACTTGTTATTCTTGTCATAATGGTTCTTTTGTGGCGATAATAATGTAATGTCCAGGTCCTTTTTTGTATTTGACTTTTTCCTTTCCTTTTTTTTTTTTTAATTTGGATATTAAAATGTGTTGAAAGTGTCCATTAAATTTTGATCAGGAACTCTAATGCCACTGCAGGTGTTTTATATTATCCTTCGATCATGAAATTTATTATGTTTTTTTGTTTTGTTTTGTTTTTTTTTCGTCAAAATGATAAGTCGGTCGTTGCAGTGCTGTTGAGGTCAGGGGATCCTGTGGCCTCGGTGTGTGTTAGGCCTTGGGCTGTTGGACCTACAGCTGCTATCGGTGTGCTGAGGAGACAAATTGCGTCGATGACAGTCCTGTGTAGCGCACAGGCGGTTTGGTTACTCTTCGGTGTAAATTACTTTTGATGGAGGAAGGAAGCACAGGGGGGGAAAAGAGAGAGCTGTATACGAGCGCAGGCAGCATAATGATATTCAGGTCAGGCCAACGAGCAGGAGACCCACGTCGATGCCGTTTGTCTGAGTTTATTGTCTTTTAATGCGTTCCTGTTGTGCGTAATGGGATTGAAGTGCTTATGCTATGCTTAAAGACGATGTATCGCTGTTTCTTATCTATAGTCTACCAGCCTGTTAAGTTTCTGTTTCAACTTGGGTTTCAGTGAAAAAAAAGTTGCCTGTGTATTTAACGTCTGCTCCGTTCTGCTTGCACTCGAAATGTAGAACCTCTCATGATGATTCCCACTTGAATAAGCCTCACCTGGGAAAATTTTCTGTGTAAACTAAGACAAATGGGCTTTTATGGCCGCAGCTCAGGGCTCCCGCACTCACCCTCCATGCCCCCCCCCCCATCCCTGTTTACGGCGGTGTATTTCGTGGAATGATTCCGCGCAGTCAGGGCCTTTGAAGCGCACATGTTTATGTTTTTATGTGGGTGAGATCACACCTCCACAGGAGCTCTCCTGTGCCTGTTTGCAGTTGGCACATTTTCTCATCAAACTCCCGTGATTTATTCTCTCTCCTGTTCTTTCTTTAGCAGAGGAGCTCCCCTCGCCGTCATCATCATCATCATCATCATCATCATCATTATTTTACTATCAATATAAAAGGGCGTTGCTCGACAGTGGCAAATCATATAAGTAGGGGGGCAGGGGGGTTTGTAAATTATTGTTTCCAGTTGGTGATCATCAGGCAGACATCACTATTACAGAAAGAATTCATGTTAAGAAGAGAAATACAAAATAATAATAATGATTTATCTCCTCTCTCACTATAAACCTACTAGAATGCCATAAATGATAAATATGCGTAAATTCGATTCCCACTTAAATAAAACATGCCTCAGTTAAATGTAGTTGAGGGTATTACGTGATTTAAAAGGGATCCTGGTAAACTGATGTATTTTTCACCCCTAATAAAAGCCAAAGTACTGACCCGTGGCGACTTAATTGATTGATATGTGTTGCCTCTGATATTAATATTAAAAAGTAGGCTACAGCACGTTATTTGGACATTTGGAGGGTCGTATCTTGCTCAAACACAATTAACATTCATGACAAAAGGAGTAACGGGGCCATTTTGTCCGGCACACTTGCTGTCCGAAGGCCTTCATCCGCCAGAGCTTTATTTAAGAGCGCAGCATGTGTGGCCCGAGCAGGACTCGCAGTCAAGCTGCAGGATGCGTTCAACTTTACTTCAGGAGCTCTTCTGCATAACATTCAAAAGCAAATTACTGAACAAATGTGTTTAGGGTCACAATAGACGTGACAAAGGGGGCTATTAGAGGTGGCCATCACACAAAGCATTTCAAGGGCCGAGTGGAAACCTGCTAAAGAGGCGTGGAAGTGAATTTGCAAAATAAAAGCAAAGTCATTTTGGCAATTCTGCTAATGAATCATTGTGGAGGTCAGTATCTATCTATCTATCTATCTATCTATCTATCTATCTATCTATCTATCTATCTATCTATCTATCTATCTATCTATCTATCTATGTAATTTATTTATAGGCATAGCCTACTTTATTAATTGGATTATTAGGTTCTTCATCTTAGAAAGGTGGTCGTATAAAACAGAAATAAAGGATTTTTTAATAAGAAGAAATAATAGTGCTGGGAGAGTGCTGTAATAAGAGATAGTCGCACAAACACCCACACAACACACACACACACACAGTGTACAAAGTGTCAATTGATGCGGTCATATTGATCGGGCGAATTAGCGCTGCTCAGCCTCTTAAAAGCGCAGAATCAGGTTTGATGCGGGAGACTGCCGAGCTGTCTTCTTGCTAG